ACGCAAACCGTAAATTTTATCTGAGCTAAAAGTTTAAATCACCGTCAATTTCAGTCTTTTATGTGGGAAATAGATTCAGAGTTTGCCGACATTCCTCATCATACAGAAGTCCGTTGGCTGAGTTGGGGAAAAGTTCTCAATAGTTTTTGAGCTCAGCAAGGAAATCTGTCTGTTCGTGGACATGGCATGTATGATGCGGTGAAGGCATTTCAAGTGAAGCTGTTACAAATGCACCAGTGCAACCTGCCTCACTTTCCCTGTTGCCAAGTAATGTTGAACCAAGTCAGCGGACTTTGCTGAACTGCACCTGTGCAGATTCAGATGGAGCTGCAGTGCAATGATACACTCAAGGCAAAGTACGACACTGAATGGCCCGCACAGTTTATTAGTTCCATTCCTGAAGCAATGCCCAGCTCCGTCTACATGCGGCACCAACCTTTCATTTATTTTTTGGGGGGTTTTTGGAAGCATGTTCATATTTCTAACTTGCATAATTTTGACAGGATATATATTTTTATGAAGAGCAAAATATTTAAAGTTAAAGTTTATTTTTTCTAAGTTTATTTAATCTGGAATAATATTCCGGTCTGTTTTTATTCACATTTATGTTTAAAAAACATTGTTTTAGGGTGTTCAATAAATGTTTATCTTGTTTGGCCCGCGACCTAAAGTGTGCCTTGAGTTTTGGCCCCCTGTGCAATTCAGTTTGACACCCCTGACCTACAGTAACATCGACTATACCTACCAACTATATAAGTTACTAATCTTAAATTCATTGTTGTTATAGCAGCTAAAAAAGAGAAATCTTCTCTACGCCTCATTTACATGGAGCTTAAAATGTTTTTTGTATACTGGATGACATTCAAAGCACTGATGTAGTTAAACCGTACAGCAACTTTTTCCTGACTATCTTTATTGTGTGTGCTAACACACACACACACACACACACACACAAATCACATGGCACCACTCTGACTCTAGAATCTAATTCTAGTAAAATTTTACAGTTGAGCTAAGATCCTAATATTTTTAATCTGGAGGTTAATTATAAAAACAAAGAAGCTCATATGAAAACACATACATTATATTACATACATTTTTTACCATTCTCCCAGAAGCACATTGGTGAAGTCAGACACTGATCTTTGATGAGAAGGCCTCGCTTGCAGTACCTGCACTAATTCATCCCAAAGGTGTTGGTTTTTTAATCGTAGAATGGGAGGCAGAGCCTTTAACTTTCAGGTCTGTTTTCCTGTGGAACCATTTTTCTTTCTACTTTTAAGATCAGGTGTTTTTTCTTCACTTGCCTTTTTACTCATTATATGTTTATATTCCATTCTAATCATTAGCTGTTATAATTTTTTTCTCTCTTCCACACGGTGGAAGAGAGAAAAAAATTGTCCTCTCTTAGTAGCCAGTGCCCCAGGATGAGAGACTGGTGATTGGAGTAGACTTCCATGGGCATGTAAGTAAAGTAAACAGATGCTAGTGTTTTACAAAAAGGGGTGGAACTTGTTGTGCTGAACGTGTACTTTAAGAAGAGGGGGAAGAAATAGTTTTTGTTCTGGGCCTGGTTCTGCTGGAGTTTTCTACTTGTTAAAAGGGAGTATTTTCTCTTTTTTCCCCCTTCCCACTGATTGTTTGGATTTTCTGTTTTCCCCGCATTATTGTAAGGTCTTTGTCTTACAATATAAAGCATGTTGTGATTTGGTGCTATATAAATAAAACTGAACAGAACTGAATAGGGTAACATATATATATATATATATGGAGGAAGGTACTCAACCACCCTAGGGAGAGTATCTCATTTTGACCTTGAAACTTCCAGGCTATACTCGGTACAGATGTTCTTTTATACTGTGTGGCACTTGATTATGTATGTATGTATGTATGCTCTGCCTGCTACTATTTTACAGTGTGCTGTGATGTGCTGGATTGTTTCAGGGGCATCTTTGCACAGCCTGCACCTGGGCTCTTGCCTGGTGTGGTAGATCCCAGCCTCTATGGATCTGATGATAAGAGATTGTTCCTGTGCTGCCTCTGTGCTTTCTTTCAGTTTAGCTTTGTTCAGCCATTTCTGGATGTCAGCCACTTGCTTTTTCTGCCAGTGGTACATGCCATATGCAGGAGCCTGTCCTTCCATGATGGTTCTTCTCCTTTTTCCTCTTGTTTCTCTGGTTTCTTCTGCCTGAAGTATTTGCTAAGGATACGGTCTATTGTGGTCTTCCTGGTGTACTCATGTATGCTCATTGTTTCATCCTGGATTGTGGTTCTGAAACTCATTAATCCTTGGCCATAAGCATACAGTCTCAGGATGCTGGATTTGGGGTGAAACCCTCCATGCAAGATAAGGAGCTTCCCTGTCTTCACGTCAGTGGCTTCTAGATCATCTGCAGAGGAATGGTTCATTTGAAGAGTTTCAGTCAGGTTTCAGAGTTCATCACAGCACAGAAACAGCTTTAGTGAAGGTTACAAATGATCTTCTTATGGCCTCTGA